TGCCTGTAACTATCGGTCTTGCAATGCCTCATTGGACTTGTAGTTCCACAATAGCTGGAGGGCCTGAGTTGCCAACCCATGTTTTACATAAATTAATAGAAGCTAAACATTGTAGGCACCCTAGTGAGTCTTGGTTCACATCTAGGCGATTGAGCTGGCGAGCTGTTTTTGCGCGTTCACCGCACGTTTTTGTTTGTGCAATTTTACTTAGAAAAATGCATAGAGATGTCTCTGGGACCCAAACCGGACGGAAATAGCTCCTGCACCTATTAGTCGGTGCACACCTAGTTGACACCTCACCGCGCGGCAATCGTGCACAATTCTGCGCGGATTGCCGCGCGGTCAGAAGTCGAGGAGGTGTGAACTGATCGTGCTGTGGGTGCCATTATTTTCTAATTGCACCCCAGTAGTGCCGGCGCCGATTGTGCAGTTTCCCGCCGCAATTCCGCCCGTGCTTCTGAACACGAAACACAGCCGCGTTGTGTACCTTTTTGCTGTGATTGCCGCACAGATGTCACCCCATTGAAATCAATGGGGCCACGCGGCCATCGCTGCCTGCATTGAATCGGAACCGGATCGCAGAGGTCTGCACCGGGCCTGAGTGTAAACATTTTTGTCTTTTTTTCTGGACAGTTTGGGCTGGTAAAGGAAGATGAAGAAAGAGCATTGTATATTGGGGTTTTTTTTTTTTAAAAAGGAAGTCTTGCTACTGGTCTCAAACGTTTTTTAGGAATGTGATGATTATAGGCTGTATACTAGAGTTTTCAAAAACACCCACACATCTTGTCAGCAGCTGGCTCATTGGTCTAGGGGTATGATTCTCGCTTAGGGTGCGAGAGGTCCCGGGTTCAAATCCCGGACGAACCCAATTTTAGCAAATGCAGCATATGGCTTCAAGTAATTTTGCCATAACTTTGGGAGGTAAAGAAGGCTCCAGCCATAACTTTAGGTGGTGAAGAAGAAGGGTCCAGTCATAACTTTGGGAGGTGAAGAAGGCTCCAGCCATAATTTTGGGAGGTGAAGAAGGGTCCAGCCATAACTTTGGGAGGTGAAGAAGGGTCCAGCTATAACTTTGGGAGGTGAAGAAGGGTCCAGCCATAACTTTGGGAGGTGAAGAAGGGTCCACCCATAACTTTGGAAGGTGAAGAAGGGTCCAGCCATAACTTTGGGAGGTGAAGAAGGGTTACACCCTCTTCTAGGTTTTAAATGCAAAATGAGTACCAGCTAAAGAGATGTATTCTTTAATTCTCTGCCAAGAAGACACAGCGAGAAATGCTAAAAATTCTCTGCAGTGAGAAAACGTCCTCCACATGCTTTGTGTAACTGAAGGCAGCAGAGGACTTCATATATGGCTCGTTGGTCTAGGGGTATGATTCTCGCTTTGGGTGCGAGAGGTCCCGGGTTCAAATCCCGGACGAGCCCTATTTTAGCAAATGCAGCATATCGCTTAAAGGAGAACTATGAGGTGAGTGCATTTCACTCGTCCTCATAGTTCTAGCCGACCTGTGACAATGAAACTGTCACAGGTCGGCTCAGTAGATCGGGAGGTGAGCGAACAGATAACGGCGTTCGCTCACTTCTCGATCCTGTCACGGCTCTCTGCCGTGACAGGGGGAGGGGCTGGATTCCCCTCTCCGATCCTCCAGCGCTGACTGGAGGAACGGACGGGGCGGTTACAGCTGGCACTGCCTCTAGATAGGCAAAGCCAGTTGTCACTCACGCAGCTGGGCGGATCCAGACATAATTGTCGGGATCCGCTTCAACTGCAGCGTCTCAGTATACTACGAGCTGTAGCTCGCGGTATACTGAGCTTAGGGTGACGGGAGGACGCTAGTTTGTGTCCTCCCGTTACCCTAAGGAGAACTATGGGGAAAAGCCCTAACCCCATTGTTCTCCTTTAACTGCCTCCGGGCCGGCCATGGTAAAAAAACGGCCGGCCAGGAGCTCTCTCGATCTGAGCGGGCGTCTCTAGACGTCCGCTCAGACACGCCCCCTTGCGCGCGCCACCAGGCGCGCGCGAGCGGGAAATGGCCGGAATTTAAAAA